AGACACAACACAGCTATTAAGTCCGTATTATGTTCTGTCCATCAGCTCATATAATGGTTTCCATGGTCATAAAAGAACAATGTATAAGCTAGTTCACCTTTTGTTTAGAGTAAGAAGTAGTTTGATGGGAAAGAGAAGGCGGGTAAAGGAAACGGACGTAGCACGCAGAAAAGGGGCAGAAATGGATGGGATAAAGTACAGTCATACTTATTAATTAATAACACTGAGCCGTATATGCTTATTACATAAACACGCAAGGATAAATTATTGTTAAACATGAAACTGCGTGTAAGTACGAATATCTCTGAGAATAGACGGAGGCATACAAAGCAGGCAAATCGATTTAGAACACCGTGAACAGGGAAACAGGTTTACAATTATGAGATTATTGTTGCTTCTGGAATACAAAACAAAGCACAGTCGAATAGAGGTGCATGCAACCACGTCATTTCCAAAAACAGATTACTGATTTCAGTTGGAACTCTCCAACTGGGAAATAGAGTTACGACCCACTTTCATAAAATAATCAGCTGAATGCCAAAATGGCGTATCGAAAAGAGACGGTTGGAGAAGTACACATTCTGAATTAGTTTTGGATTTATTTAAATTAAAAAATTAATAAACATATACCGCGAGCTTTAAGTAGGCTTAGACCGTTTACTGCTTCTACCAGATTTACATTAGTTCAATTTGGATGTGCGTTATATCCAAGGTCGGAGCGTCCACCTTAACCGCATGGGCCGTATTAACCCGGTTAACACTTTTATAAACGAAATATAAATCGTCTTCTGTCTTAATTTCATAATTCAGTGATGCTCGATACACTGAAACACAGCAGAACCGACAAGATAAAATGCGCTCCAGGCAGTCAGCTGTTGTCAGTCAGCTAGTTGAGGCTTACGCACGCGGTAAGCGCCTGGCTGGCTAAAGACACTTTATTTATTGTTCTTTAGAGCGTTAACCGGGCTAAAATGGCAAAAACGTTTAATATCTTAAAGGCGCAGAGCACTCCACGAAATATCAACTGATAGCGACAGTGTTTGAGTTTTGTTTCTTCTGGCTTGTAATAAATGTCAACACATGTACCGCCCTGGTAGTGGAAAACTGCGAAATTGCGACGTTTACTGGTACACAGCGTGTTTTGATTCCATGAAATGAAGTCTGCTATAAACGATCAAAGAAAATTTGGTACACTGTACGGCAAGATACCTCGTAATAGGCTGTAGATTTATGAGTGGCACAGAAGTCACTGAGGAATCTGTTGATCGAATGAGGAGATGTTTTGTTGAAAGCCCTTAGAAATCAACACGGCTTGCGAGACGTGAGCTTATATTCTGTAGAACAGTGTGATATGTGTGTACAAAAAGCAAATCCTACAAGCTATCACAGCTATCAAGATTTTGCACCAGATGATGAAGGGTTCCTGGAATGTGAAGTTCTCAGTGACGTGTGCATATTTAATCAGTATGGGGTAGTTAATAAATAGAATGTAAATATTTGAGAAGTGGAATTGTCTGTTCATATGGAACACGTTCCTGAGAATTCTAAGGTGAATGTCTTATTCTGCCATTGGTAACAACGAAAGCGTATGACCCGTTGTTATTCATGGAGGGGGCTATCAATGGAAATACTGTCTTGGACATGCTTTAAAATGTTCTGATTCCTCGGACACAGAAAGATGATTCACAAGAATGTAGTTTTCAGTAAAATGCCACATCTCCTTATATCGCATTGATGTGCTAGAATTTCACAATGCTCATTATCCAGACCCGTGGGTTGATCGACGCGGAACAATTGCATGGCCACTATCCTCTCCAGACGTAGAGCCTATGAATTTCCTTGGATATATAAAAAGGTAAATTGTATCACTCGCGTTTGCTAGCAACTGTATAATATCTAAGGAAAAGGTACAGAGACTCCATAGAAAATGTCACACCTGATGTCCTGCGACGCATGTGGGAAGATATTGAGTATTGGTGAGAAATTTGTCACCCAGCAGTTGGTAGCCGTATTGAAACCTATAGCTCCTAAAATGAATACGTCTGGCTATATTATTATGGTGTACAGTTTGATAAAAATCGTGCCAGTAGACTTCTAGATCATTTGAAATTTTTGAAGGTATTGTGTCTCACCCTCTGTTTATAGAACTGTCAAATCAATGCCCATCTGGATAACTAACTAATAAGTAGTGTATGTTTATAACTAACCGGATTAGTAACATAATAAAATATTGTCTAAAAAATCGGTTAAGTGACGAATGTAGTTTACTAAGAGACAAATTATCTAATCACCAAAATGTCAATAGTCTCCTGTGTCTATAAAAATAATGGACTATTTTATGGACTTCGGTACGGACTATTAACTACAATAATGACAGAAAATCTGAGGAATGTTTGAGCGTTATGAATATTTAAAATGCTACCTTGCGTGCTTACTGGTTCTACCGCGTTATGTAAAAGCAAATGTGCTCGATGAACTGAATGCGTCACACGCGTAAGTTCCAGGACAATTTTACTGCGGAATACAAAAGTTAAAATGGCATTTATTTGCTTACATGCAGGGATAAATGATGCATTCAAGGATACAATGTGTACTGAAGAATAAAATGTTGATTCTAAAATGTTGTTTAGTTGGTTGGTTTATGGTATTTGAGGTTTTCACGGTGGCGAAGATAGGTTTGTAACTCCATGTGGACTGAAGATGGAAGCAGTATGTTCCTCCAAATTGTTGGTATCTACTTACAATTTCATAGGTCGTGACAACATAAACGATTGCCATTGACATGAATGAATACTCATCTGATAGTTACGCGTAAATATATTTAGAAAAAATTAAAAATAAACCATTAAACAGCCAAGGCAATGAACTTTAAATTCGGAGCAAAAAAGGCAAATTGAAACAGTCTGGATAATAATACAAACGCATTAATTCTTAGCTAAATCTAGTGCAGAAGTAAGAACTTATTAAAACGTTTCTGTGAAGAGAATTTGGAAGGAAGTAGAAAAAAAGATAAAAACAAAACACGTGGGCAGATATACAGGGCAGAGAAAAATAAATAAAGACTGAGTAGTGTGACAGCGTGAGATAAAGGGAATTCAAATGGCGCCACATCGGATGAAATGCAAAATATTTTCATCAGTCTAAAAAGGCCTATTATGCAGCAAAGAACTTCGTACATACTTTTCAAAACACTGACGGCTATCAAAAGCTAGCCACGTAAATTATTTTAACTCATAGGTTCTTACAGTTGTGAAAAAATCATGCGTTTTCTTGATATGACAGAAGCACTTTCAGTATATTTGAAGAGAAAGTTTCCAGTATTCGGATACGAGAAAGAGGAAATATCTGAGCAAGCGAAAACCGGAAAAATAGACTAACTTCGTAATTAAAACAATTTTCCTACTACTGTTAATTTACTTAACTCAGATTGAGGAAAATAAAGGATAAGGAGAATTGGCGAGAAAATCTCTTCGAAAGCGGGCACTTGAAACAATTCGGATAAAAATTAACTTTAAAATTGAAACTCAAGACAGATAAAACTGAAAAAAATTTCCCACAGTGGACAACGGGTTCAGTCCCAAGGAGAGTTATGTAGGACTTATGGCCAGACAAAGAAATAGAACAGGTTTTTCTTAGAAAATTTCAGTTTTATCCGGTCAATCATCATTCACCAATGCTCCATACTTATAACATCCCCTTAAATGTGCGACAGGCAAGGCCCGCCCGTAAACAATCATCTTTGTTTTCAATTGGAGCTTAGTTCCTTAGTCGCTAAATAAGAGTTTGTAGAAATTAATGCTATCATATATAAAAGCAAATAACTGATACAAATTGCGTATGTCTAGTGATAAGGTTTTTCTCTGTAGGTGATGAAATTCTGTCTCGTAATAATAGACGCTTGAATGAAATGCCAATTTCTGGCATCCAAAACTGTTACGTGTATTAAATAATGTCTTTATGTCTGCGAGTAATGTTTGATACCCGTACAAATAAATTCAGCACATCGCTCCTCATAACAGCCTCGTTGATGAACACATGTTCTTATGTATCTCTTGTGCAACATTATATAATCTACAGTCATATATGCACCTAGCAATGAAGTAACTAAACTGCAAAGTGTAACAAAGGAATAAGATGATTCATTCGTTCATTCCTCAAACACAAGCTAAGCACCGTACACTTCATATATGAAATTCCGTGACTTGCATATGAACTTCAAATCAAGATCTTACAGAGCTAAAACAGTTCTACATTTTCCTCTGACAGTTGAGAAAGCACCGTAGCTACTTGATATATGTGATATAATGTCTGCGTGTGCACAGTAGATACTTCGTAGCAGGCTACTACGTAAAATGAGAAAGACGACATGGACATTTGTTTCAAAGGGACGTAGTTTTATATCAATTTCACCGTACTAATTAAATCTTGTATTAATGTAATATGAGACATGCAAATGCTATTAATTCTGTTACGTAAAAATTCTAGATCACACGCACATATATACATGAGCATAAATACAATATTATGTTCGATTCTAATGTTATTTCTCATTTTCTTAATTCTGTTCTCATTTATAGTCTTAATTTTCTTAATTTCAAACGTGTATTTTCCTCTTTATAAATATATAATATGACGGACATATTTCTTAAGCTGTGTGATTAACGTCACTTGCACATAAACTACATATAAAATTAAATAAAATGAATTTTAGCCGAATGAAATGTTTTCTCAAATATCTGCTGCATTTCAGCCGGCTGTGTTCTAGATTGCTGCTACACGTGATCGCTCTGATGATTGACGAAGCAAGAACATCTGAAACGTCGGTGAACTTCTACCGGACTACACGGTGCAATAATCCAGACGACAGCCTTCTTCATTTTCGCCGCTGTGAGATCCTCAAATCCCACATCTCCCGCATTGTTTTATCTCTGTTTAGATACTTCATTTCTGTAACTGCACATTCTAGTTACTAATAATTTACATAAGTTGGCAATACTCACAGAGGACGTCGAGTTGCATGTCCACCGTGACGGGATCTCCGACACCGTTGGATGCGGTGCACTGGTACACGCCCGCCTGATGCCTGTCCACTTTGTTCAGTGTAATGGAGAAACCTTCCATAGCCTTTTCTCCCGTCGGCAGAATATTGTCCTGGAAACATGTGAAAATCGTCAGGCGCGTACACAATGAAGCATCAAAATAACATTTACACTGCATGAGATCTCAGGTTAACACAACAGTATAAATGTTGACGTAAAGATATAACGTTTACACGGTAGCGAATATAAATACGAAAACTTTCTCTGATATTTCACCCTGATGATGGAGGTAGTAAGCACCTCCGAAACGACGATCAACGTCTGTAATACTATAAGGTTATCCCAGAAGGCTAATGTCTTCATGTCGATGTTGGTCTTCTGTTTTGCAGTGCAGGGTGAACTTGTAGGTAAATACCAACATTTCGTAGGAACCTACTGCCTCTAGTGGCAGCGTTCATTCCTACCTACTGCCAAACACGACGTTACAACCCAGACCACCATCAACATTTCCACTGACTGTTATAAAATATATTTCAATCAAAGGCAAAAAATAACAATTTTGACTACATAAACAATGATGGGATAGATGGACATGTAGCACACATGGAAAAGTTAGAAATGCAGTCAGGAAAATTGAAGGGAAAAATACCACTTTGGAGGCACTGGCGTAGATGAAAGGTAAACGTTCAAGTGAAAATTACCGTATTTTGGGCTTTAACGCCGTTAAGTATGGCAGAAGTTTACCAACGTTTCAGATGTCCACTCATCGCCCTGATGATGGAGGCATCTAGGACCTCTGAAACGGTGGTAAACTTTTAGCAGATTACACGGCGTTAGAGCCTATAAGACAGCCATCTTCATACTCGCCGCTGTGAAAACTTGAAATCCTACGATGCTGAACTGAATCAGAAATAGGGTGTGAGGATGTAAACTGATTTCATGAGCCATAAGTAGAGTCCAGTGGCGGGCTCTGGTGAACACGGCAATAAAACTTCGTATAGCATGAAGGAGGGAATTTCTTCATTATGTGAGAGAGTATTTGCTCATGAAGAATTCTACTTCAGAGAAGGAATAATAATAAAGAAAGAACAAAATAAATGAAGTATAAAAAAAGCAAAGGAAAAACCTGAGCAAGAGATACAAGAGCAGAAGTTAGTACAGTATGTACAGTAAGCTCAACTGCAAACACCCATTGCTTTCCTCCTCAGAGTAATTTTTATTTTAAACACCCTGCTCTAGCCGATCGACTTTCAATTATTTAACTCTCTCAACTAAGTTTGTTACACGTCAGAAGCTGGTGGATAAACAGTCGAATTAATACATGAAGGGAAGAGATTTTAATATGAATTCCGAGGCATCACCTGTGTGTTTTCACAAGCATTCTTAGGCCATGAATGAAGAGCTGTGTAATGTTCAGTACGTCAGGGTCATCGGGGATGTCCGGTTCATAAATCAGAAAGACTTTCTATGATGAACTGTGATATACAATTCCCACACAACAGAAGAACTCAGCGTGATGCTGACAGGAAGAAGAAGCAGAAAAGTATATTTTATCTTCAAACCATTTCTTTTCATTTTACATCTAGAAATATAACAGTTGAAAATTACATTTACGTCTTATGAAAAATGTTGATTCATTTTACAAAATCACAAATTTATAACAAAGATTTATGATGCTTATTTTTCTAAAAATCATCAATATAAATAACGATGCAAGCAGAACTGTACATTAACAACTACAAAACATTTTAAGCATCCATTTATGTACACAATTTACAATAGTATATATTTCCACCACGTAACATTTTCAAGATGTAACAACCTTCTTATGTTTAACACTGAAATTGTAAATGATATTTGTAGGTGCATTTATGATACCAACATACAGAATATAATTCCCCTTAGGATAAGAGACCTCGTTTCGCAACAGTGTAAAACTCACTCACTAAATTGTGCAGGATATTCTTTGTAATGTAAAACAAATGGTACAAACCAATGTTTAATAAACTTTGCATGACAGCCAATTTGGAAGTAATCCGGAAAATAAACAGATTATGCAGGTACGTTAATCCCAATATTCACTAGGTCTTCTGCAAAAGATGCCGGTCACAGTGGGACACTGGGACTGTGGGTTCGAATCCCATTCAATATATAAATGTTTGTCCGCTTCCTTGTGTTGTGGTATTCCGTGTACAGGTAGAGTCCTTCCGACGGGCTGATTACTGGTCTAAGGAGTCCCACCATATATCCAAATATATCAATAAACCTGCCACGTGGGAGGTGGCCTGGTCCGTCAATGACTGTAGAGCGACAAACTATTGTTATTGTTGTTGTTGTTATTGTTTTGATTTTGTTGTTTTTATCGTTATTATCATTGATGCACTGTTCCTTGTGCAGGTTTACCGCGGTTTTAAACACTGTCCTTTCCTTCTGAAAGCTGTCGGTTTCCGCATCCCTGCTCGGAATCTGAGAGATTTTTCTATGTTCAGTTTTAGCCCTTTGATCAAAAACAGTCCTTCTGCTAGATGCGCATCAGCTGCTAATGTCGTCTGCAGGGACTCGGACATATTCGAGACGAAAATTGTCACACTTCTTCACATTATATAATAGTATAATTTACTTAATTGATTTAAATTATTTTTACAAATAAGCTAATATATTTAGTTGCAATTTTCTTGTGTATTAATGTCCTCCGTACTAATGTATTTTTATATCCTGCTTGTTTTACCTTTTGTGTTTTATTGTGTTCGTGTGCTCATCTCTGTGCTGTATCTGTAATTGGCCTTCTGGCTGTTGATACAGCACACTAATAATAAAGAATTGAATTGAATTCCACCTATTCACCACTTTATAGGGTATTTACTCCTATGTACCCGAGAAAAACTTTGCCCCTGACGTACACGGTGCAGCAGCTATTTCCGAAATGAATTTTGTTTTTAATATGTGTAACACGTATTATATAGTTTTATTGTGAGAGATGATTATATATTTTACGACAGCGTCTTTCGAATAATATATAAATATCCTAAAATGGCAGTTTTCTGAAGTTCCCTGATGCTTTGTTCGTCCGGAATGTTGGCAAAATATTTTCTGAGTGACTTGGAGACAGTTCCGGTTTCTCCTATAATTATTGGGATTACTTTTGCTTTCACTTTCCACATTCTCTGTGTTTCAAGATCTTTTAAGCTTCCTTCTTAATTACTTTTCTGTCAGTTGGTATTGCTATATCAATTAAGAGAAAAGTCCCATTTTTGTTTCGGATTATAATATCTGGTTTGTTATTTGGAATGGTTCTACCTGGTTTGACTTGTTGGCTCCACAAAATAATTATTTGGTTATCCTGACTTGTCTCAACTGCCTTCGGGATGTGTTCATAATAATGCTTTTTTTCTAGCTTTACCCCATCTTTTATTTAATATTATTATTATTATAGCAACTGGAAATAGTGCATGTGCAGCTTTTAAACAATTGAGTCATAAGACAATAAAGAGAATAAAACGGAGAATGCAGAACAGAAACATGAATGGGTTGCTTGTTCAATAAGGCCATTCTCACACAATCTAGTGGTGCCACGAGAGGGTTCAGAACGGGGTAGCATAACAAGCAATTCAAACTATCCGCACAACCATCACCCCATACCGATAATTACCTGTAGCAAGCTATTGATTGTGTGGTAGCTAACGGCACACATTTCGGATACCCACACAGTCGGACAACATGGCCTCAAGTTAACTGCTTACGTTAGGAGTGTCCGAATAAATATTTTAGTAACAAACGTCATTGATTATAAATGAACGACATTTTTTTGTCTAAATTAATACACCTGGGATGAACGCAGGACAAATGGTGGATGTTTTATAAAGCTTGTGGCAATTAATTTCAATTGACAGAAAGGAATCGAGAGACAAAGAGATATTTATATTCAAATATCCGAATGACGTTGAAAACACTACGGCACGAACCTCTTTAAAGGACAAAGAGGGAGAGAAGAGAGACGCGACACAGGAGGAGATAATAACTTTTTTCCCGGCTGCGGGGATCCCCAGTCTCCACTCGTTCATGTGACAAACGTAAGTTCTGGAGAAGTCCAGGGGCTAAGTACTGATTGTGGTCATTCAGTAACAGCCCCTTCAATTGCCATTAAAAATTAATGAATTGTAAAATTTAGGCAAGAGTCTTGGGGAATATTTAATGCAATGACGTGTAATTTCATTACTTACATTGATAACGCTGGTTGAGACACATGAGAGAACAGAAATTTTCGAAGGACATCACTCGTCTAAATAACACTTACATCCAAGAAAACATAAAGCATACACGTTATAAATGCAGGTATATTAATGTTAAGAATAATTTTCTTCTTAATTCTTATCACCACACAAAAGGAATAAATAGACCCTGTGAAATAAATTCAGACATAGTTTACGTTGAAGCAGATAGTATACACAGTTACCATTATCGATGTTTATTTTTACATATAACTTTGTTTATTTAATGGTAATATTTCGAATGCATTTGTTGGAGGCCTGTAAATTCAAATGACAAGAGTGTTCCGCGTAAATTTTTGACATTAAAATAAGGCACACGAACATATAATAATACTCCTACAATACAGAAAGAAATGAATTATAACTTTGAATTATGTGGCACTCAGATTAAGCTGAAGTGAATAGAAATTACACACAATATAAATGGCATATAAGCAATATATATGCTTGTACAGTTTCATCAAAATCTGTCAAAATAGTTATATAACTAACAAACATATGAATGAGAAGACGTAAGGTAAAAGCCCACAATTTTTACAAACCGGAATTTGCCATTTTGTATATCCCATTAGGGTTAATCTATAATCTTATATATTTTATTACCTTGTTAATTACACTACAGATATCACAATAAATTTAATCAAAAATATTTTTATTTTGATAAATATTCACCACATATAAATGTTTAACATTACGGCCAACACCATTTTCCATCACGTAATTTTGTCACCTTTGAAAAGTTTAATCCCCCCCCCCCAAAAAAATGCATTATGTCAGAAACTTCAGCTACGATATTGAGAAAGGACAATGGTGTCATACAGTGTCATAATCCATCATACTAAAG